GTGTGTTCCCCTCCCAGCTTCCATTGCCATTCTCGCCCAGACTCTAGACTAACAAGCCCTCTCCCCGCAACCAGTCATTGACTGATTTGCGAGAGATCCCTCATCTCAACAATCAGATACTGCATCTGACGATAACCAAGATAGTCGCACTATCTTGCTACAATCGACGGCCATATTCAAGCCATTAATTACCGAGGTCAACGCACTCGAACTCATCACATCAATTAAAATCCCCTCCCTTGTCTAGCAACAAAGAAAGCCCTCGACACCTCCACCCGTCAGTCAATCAATCAACCACCAAAAGCACCGACCTACCTATCCACACAAAAAAACACAACTGCTATTGCTTTCTCTCTCCTCAATGCGGAACGGGCGCTTGTATGTGGACGTGGACACACAATGGCTTAGGATTGCGACCGCCAAACATGGACGAACAAGACCACTCACGATCTGGCACCTCCAGTGATGCCACATCCTGGAACCAGGCCTCCACCTCCGACCTCAACCTACCCCGGGACCCAAAGATGGAGCGCTCCAGCGCATCCAACCTGCGGTCAGCCTTTCGCCATACGCTGATAAATGCCACCTCCACCGTTCGCGCTGTCACACCCGATCCCGTCGAGCCTCCAACTGTCAGTGTCACTGCTGAGTCTCAACAGTCCCAGAGAGGTGCTTCTTCACAGCAGAGTTCGCCCCGGACTATACCTCCGGGCCCTACAAGAAGACAAGGCATGGTTTTCAACGAAGTTTTCAGCGAGTCGTACGAGAGCAGCGAATCTAGCCCTCCCAGACAGCATTTACGGCATACGAGCGGTAGCCTGCGGCCAAGGACACGCACTATGGATACCTCTATGCTGGCACAAAGAAGTGTACCACCGCCGACATCAGAACGACACCGGGTTGGCAGTGTGAGCTCATCGGGGTCATTACACCCTTCAGACGAGCTAAGGCCACAGCTCAGTTCATTAGACTCGCTACATCACGCTGTGATAACGGGGCGAGAATCATTAGTACCAACAAAAGACAAAAAGTCAAGAAGACTTATGAAGCGACAGTCTTCCAGGCCTACCTCACCTCTCATTTCTCCCCCACCTACCGTCGACTCACTCCCATTACCCATAGCCACCGATGACGCAAACAAGGTCCTGCTTCTTATGAGAAGTCTATGCGGTCGAATGCGCGGCGAGATCGAATATCAAGGCGAAACAGGCGGTCCTTGGCATAGTGGCGTAGCTTATATTGAAGAGGAGAAGGGCTGTCTCATGTTTGACTCAGGGCAGAATGGACCCTTTCATATCCCTCTTGTTTCTGATCTGCGCGGCTGCAGGGTCCTCCCTGTCGATTATCCCGAACTAACCAAGGAATGCTTGGAGCTGGTTTGCCTGTCACCTCCAGTGGAAATTCTAATATGTCCTTTGGTGACAGAAGAGTTCGACTTGTGGCTTGCAGCTTTACTATGCTGGCAGCAATTACGTCCAACGGGTATTAAGCTTGCCAATGGGAAACCAGCCAACCAGGTGACGCCCATGAGGCCGGAATTGAAGAGACATGGTTGGTCACAAGAAAAGAACAAGCCTACGAATATCATCAAGGTTGGCAAGGTGATGCTTTGGGACAAGGGTTTGGCCGTTTCACCAAGGGCGATTGTCAAGCGACCCTCAACGAGAGACCTTCGATCACCCACGACATCCTGGAGGAGAGTTTCCTGCATTCTACAGGACAGCGGCGAGTTCAAGCTCATGACAGAGAATGATGTTACCGTTCTTTCCATCATCGACCTTTCACAGCTTTCCCGGTGTGCTGTTCAACAACTTGACCGCACAGTACTCGACGAAGAATATTGCATCGCCATATTTCCAATTTACTCTTCTACATCTACTCACCTCTCAATTTTCCGACCTGTTTACCTAGCCCTCGACAGCAGGGTTCATTTCGAAGTTTGGCTTTGTCTACTACGAGCATTTGCCGTACCCGACATATATCGGCTTGACGACCCTAACACATCGCAAATTGTGGAACTTGAGGATATTGAATCAGAGTATGAGGGCGAAGTTTTCAGGCTTGAAAAGACAATCAGCGTCAGGGTTACAGAAGCAAAGATCAAGGCTAGACCCAGCGGTGGCGGAGGGACTGAGCCGACAATTCCAGAACGACCCGGACGAACGGAACCCGATCCCTTGATTGGAAACTACCTTGCAGAAGTTATCTTAGATGGCGAAGTGAGGGCACGAACAACAACAAAGACAGCCACCAAGAATCCCTTTTGGAGAGAGGAGTGCGAGTTCACCGATCTACCACCAACCACGCCATTATTATCCATCGTCTTAAAGAAAGTGGAAGGAAACCTGGACAGCTCGAGTAATCTTCTCCAAGCATCCGTTGGACTGCCTCGAACACGCAATCTGCAGGAGTTTGTGGTAGGTGCCGTTGATATTTCGCTCGACCAACTAGACCGCGGAAAGGATAGCGAGCAATGGCTTCAGATATTTGACGAGAAGCACCAATCGGTTGGACAGATGCTAGTCAAAGTGAATCACGATGAGCATGTCGTGCTTTTGTCGAAGGAATACCAACCTCTCACGGACTTGTTACACCGATTCCCAGCCGGATTGACGAATCAGGTATCGGCGGTTCTCCCGGGACAGCTACGTCGATTGGCTGAGTTATTCCTCAATATCTTCCAAGTGTCAGGTTCCGCCAGCGAATGGCTCATGGCATTGGTTGAGGATGAGATCGATGGCATTGGCAACCAGACCACCATGAAGAAATATCGATTCAGTAGCCGGCTGAAGTCCAACGATTCTATCGATGCTGCAACTGATCGTGAGCTCATCGTACGAGATATGAGCAAGTCACTTGCCGGAGAAGCGAACCTGCTGTTTCGAGGCAACTCTCTCCTCACCCAGTCGCTTGAATTTCATATGCGCCGCTTGGGCAAGGAGTATTTGGAGGAGATCTTACAGGAGAAGCTGTTTGAGATAAATGAGATCAACCCAGACTGCGAAGTCGACCCCAGCAAGATACCCCACGAATCTGATCTCGAGCAACATTGGACTGTGCTCATCCACTACACGACTGAAGTGTGGAAGTGCATTGCTAACTCAGCCAACCGACTACCTCCGGAGCTACGACATATACTCAAGTACATTCGAGCCGTTGCTGAAGATCGCTATGGAGACTTCTTGCGCACTGTCACATACACATCTGTCTCTGGCTTTCTGTTCCTTCGCTTCATCTGTCCAGCTATTCTATCGCCAAAGCTATTCAACCTTCTACGCGACCACCCTCGACCTCATGCCCAACGAACATTCACACTCATCGCAAAGGCACTACAAAAGCTAGCGAACTTGTCCAACTTTGGAAAGCGAGAGGAGTGGATGGAGCCGATGAACCGATTCCTCAATGTGCAGAGACAATCTGTTCGTGATTATATCGACCAAGTGTGCAGTATCCCAGCCGACCGCAATGCCAATTTTGTTCCTGCTGGCTACAGCACACCAGTCACTATTCTCGGCCGTCTAAGTCCTACTTCTAAGGAGGGATTCCCCAGCCTTCCATACTTGATTGACGACACGAGAAACTTGGCTAGTCTTGTCAAGTTATGGGTGGATGCTAAACCGGTTGACGACAAGAAAGAGGAGGTAGATCAAGAACTTCTCGCTTTCAACGACGTGTGCTTCGCTCTACAACAACGCGCCGACGCTTGTCTCGCTAAGGTCGAAACTGAGCGTTCTATTGAAACAGCAACCTGCGCTACCACAGAGGACGTCGCCGAATCCATCGAACAAGCATCCTTGATTGAATCGCTCTCCATTTCCTACGGCGGCTCCTCAACAGCATGGAACGACGTCTACGAACCCACGCCCGGTAGCTCAGGCAGCGAAGTCAACGATGACAACACAATACGCAACCGCAGACGAAGCAAAGAGCGCCGCCGTCACCATCATCACCCCAAAGAAGGCTGGGAGCAACGAAAGCAACGGCATGCAAGCACAGGCGGAAGTGCGAGTGCCAGTGCAAGCAACACTATCAAGTCTAAGAATGGACGTGTAGGGCGTACGATCCTCAGCGGCATCACTCGCATAGTGGGCCGTGGTGAGAGTCCTGAGGGAAAAGATTCCTCGAAGCATTTCAAGTAAAAAAAGAAAAAAGCCATTTATATCCATCTATACATATACATATACACATATTATATACCTTTTCATGACTAGATGGGAGAGCTAGTTATTCATGACTGAATGACCAAATACAACTTTTTTTTAAATACCATTTTCATATTTTCTTATACTCCTCTCATTTGTACTTGTCCTTTCTTTTGTCACTACTACTACTACTACTACTACTACTACTACTACTACTACTACTACTACTACTACTACTACGGATCTTGGATATGGCGGGCCATTTCTTCATACTCACATAGCAGACGGTTGGGATCGCTTCGTTGTTGTATTATATGGATCTGGATTTGCTTGGTTACTTGTTTTATTTAGGTTTATCTTGATGTAGAGTTAGAAGGCTTCACTCCAATGTACCTTTCGTGCTTGGCATGATTGATATATACCTTATATAAACTTTGGAGGAGAAAAAGACATATGATATTTGGATTCCCCTCATAATCTCAAATCACAATTACGATGATCCCCTCTTCACTGAAACCATATATGATCGATGCGTGGACGCCTTGCCTGACTTACGAAGCATGAATATGGGAATTGGCAAATGTACAACGTCAATCACAAAGCGTGTGTGCATGATGTGTCATCTCGTTATAGAGTATTGCAATATTTGCAATTCGATGGTATCTCTCATTCAGCGCCGACTCCTAAGTAACCCGCTTTTTCCTCGCATGGGTTATGTTACAGAAAGTTTGATCATGTCCTCCGTCCTCATTCCATATGAAACATGGCTATAATTTTCAAATACATCTGGCGTTCTATCCCGCTCTCAGTGAGTAAAATGACGCTCTCTATTTTGCGGTATGCCTTCTCTGCAGCCGCTTAGGCGAAGAACTTCTTGTAGGCAGCCTTCTCCTTGGCAGCGCGAGCAGCAGCCTTGGTTCGGACGGCGTTGAGCTCCCGGGTGATGGCGCTATCGTTGGGCGCAAGGGTGTTAGCCTCGCTCAGGTCACGCAGAGCAGCCTCCTCGTCCTTGAGGCGGATGTTGGCAAGGCCACGGCGATAGAGAGCCTTTGCACGGTCGGCGTCCTTAACGCCTTCGACGTCCAGGGCAGCCGAAGCGGAGCGAGAAGCGTCGTCCCAAGCCTCTAGCTTGATGTTCAGGAGCGCCGAGTTGTTGTTGAGGGAGAAGCGCAGAGCCTTGAGGTCATCCTTGATTGATTGCGGTTGGTTCTCAAGATCAGGGTCCTCGTTAAGGTAGCGCAGACCCTTCTGGTACTTGTCGAGGCCAAGAGAATAGTTGCCTGACTTAAAGGCAGTGTTGCCATACTCCTTGCAGGCCGTAGCGATCTTGACGATGGCGACGGCATCGAGAGTGTCCGTGCAATCTTCGGGGAAGTCCTCGTATGGGTCGCCGAGGGCGTCGGGCTGCTTTACGTCGGCAGCGACGGCGGCGTCACCCTTGAGCTCGCCGCAGTCGGCAATGAGAGCCTCCTTTGCGGGACGGTCGCCGGACTGGGTGGTAAGGTTCTCGATCTGTCGAACGACGGACTTGCCGTTAAGTACCTCGCCGAAAACGACGTGCTTGCCGTCGAGGTGAGGGGTAGGAACGGTGGTTATGAAGAACTGGGAGCCGTTGGTGTCTGGCGGGGTAATTCGTCAGCGTCATGGTCATGGCCCAGAATGAGGGGCATCATGGAACTTACTGGGACCAGCATTGGCCATGGACAAGAGGAACGGCTTCTCATGCTTCATGGGGAAAGCTTCATCGTCAAACTTGTTGCCGTAGATGGACTCTCCGCCGGTGCCATCACCAGCAGTAAAGTCACCACCTTGGATCATGAACTGCTTGATGACGCGATGGAAGATGGAGCCCTTGTAGTGCAGGGGCTTTCCTGACTTGCCGATGCCCTTCTCGCCGGTGCAGAGAGCACGGAAGTTCTCAGCGGTCTTGGGGACAAGGTCGGCATAGAGTTCCATGGTGATACGGCCGACGGGCTTGCCGCCGAGCGAGATATCGAAGAAGACGCGGGGTCGCGCGGGGGAGTCGCCTTCGGTAGCCATTGCGAATAGTTTGTGAGAAGGAATTGGGTGAATAGAGAGAAGGGAAATATAAATGAATTAAATCAAGGCGCCGAAAGAGAGAAGAGATGCTTGAGATTGAGTTTGAGAGGATTGAAGAGTAAGACGAGGGGATCACAACGTGGGGGTTTAATCTTAGTATTTGGGTGCTGAGAGCAGAAGCAAACAGAAGGTAACAGAAGAGGGGAGCTACCCTGCCAATTGAGGAAAAGTCGCGATGCAAGTGAGCCCGAAGATCGTGCCGCTTATAAGTGGGTATATATCCGTAGGTAGCCCAGTGATTAATTGACTTGACAGCTACAACTGAAGGTTCAATTCAACTCTTTATCACCGGGAACATCACTATATATCTCTACAACAGCTGTAATAGATAGGCTATCGTTCATGCAATCGACTCCATCAGATCATGTCTCATGAATCACAATCACTCGCAAACAAGGACAAGGTCAAGGTCCAGCTCCGATATCCCTCAGACTAAGCCAAGCATGGATGGACGGACGGGATGTGAATATCATAACCAAGAAGACAATTTGTGTATGCGGGTGTCTTTTCTTTTTCCTACAGCGGTGATGAGCAAAGGAGATGAGACGGGACAACTAATTCGATCAGCTGATGCTAATAAAAACAACAAATATCATCAACTGAAACGAGACAGGTTCAGCCGAGAACTTTGAAGCCCAAACAGACTCTCTCTGTAGTGAGGCTCAACCTCGCCCTGCAGTTCAAGGTCAGATACATTACATGACCTGTCATGCAGCCATTGGAAATGTGTTTCAATTAAAGAGGACACATAACAATCTGTGTAACGACAACTGGATGGCCTCGACCAAGCTGTCTCTCTCTCTGTCTCTCTCTCTCTTGCAATCCAATTCCACTCAGTAAAAAAGTGAGAAAAGAGAAAACTCTCTCTTTAATGGTCTCATCAAGGCGGGGGAGGGGAGGGGGAGTATTTCATGAAAGAGAACAGGGGTCAAAGAGGCTTAAGCCTCCTTGCAATAACGCCTTCAGGGCATTGATTGCATTGTAATCCGAGTCAACAAGGCCCAATATCAAAAGGAGAGTGAATCATGGCTGACGAAATATGGTTACACAAAATACCTATAGAACCGCTTACTTACAGGTCTTGTTACTGATCAAATCTCACCTTTTCTCGCCTATATCCCACTCAACTATTGCCCGCCTCCACCAACCAACGCACAACATCCATTGTAGCGTCTACTGGGGATATCCCGATGCAAGAAATCAACGGCCAATCCGATTTAATCGCCCGGACCAAACTCCCCCGTCCCAGAACCCTGGCCTGTCTATATTGGATCCATCCCGTCCGTTACAGAGGAGAGCTAGGGGAGGAAAGAAAACTCAGGACCTTAATCCTAAATGACAAAAAGACTTAGGCAATATAGCCTAAGCTTAGGATAACTTTGCCAAGTTTATTTTGGCACCTTGTATCGAGGTTTGGTGTTTTCTTGCCCCCTCAGGGAGAGACACTTTTGTCGCTTTGACCATCTTTGAATTGCTTCTTTTCAAAACCACAAACACGGAACTTCAGCCGCTCTCGGTTGCACAGCACATGATGCAGCCCTTCCGCTAACGCATCCAATTAGAAACTGACAATACATGAAAAATGGCTGTGTTGGCTGTTGTTTGCTGTAAGATACTTGCACTTTCGGATACAGTCCCGTCGACAATTGACCCTATCAGGTTGTATGCTGTAACACACATATCCAACATGTGCCAGCCCAGGCAAGCTGAACTGAACTCTTCAAGAATCATATCATGTTGGTTATAGACGCCAGGGCTGATTCCAAAACATGCCTCTATACCGAACCTGTAGACTAGCAGATCCGTCAATGCAACTGATGTAAAATCTTCGCTTTCTCTTTTGTCTACCCGTCCAGTCCCGTCTAAGGTATCTTCAATAGCCTATCTCCCTATATTTCACATTTCTATAGCAAGCCACTCACTCCGTCTTGGCACCATTCTTCAACTCCAGAGTAACCTATGATGCATCCCCCACGGTTAGCACAGACACCCCCAAATGCAAGGAAAAGAAGGCGGTATTTCACAAAACTTACCGGCCCGTCGTTGACGAGAGCAACCTCCATCATGGCCTGGAACTGCCCATCCTTGACCCTCTCCTCCATGTAACCCGCCCTGACCTTCTGCACAAAGTAGTGGTATAGCCGACGTGCCTCCTCCGGGTTGGCAGCACCGTGAAAGTCAGGCTTGGCTCCCTTCTTTGTGCTAGCCAGCAGCGTAAACTGCGACACTGTATCAAGGTCTCAGCCACTGCTGCTACCCTCACACGACCGGAGAGGAGAAGAAGACTCACCGCAGAGAACCTCGCCGCCAATATCGCCGACACTCTTCTTCCACTTTTGCAAAAGCCCGTCAGATTTGAAACCACAAACCGAAATTAACGGCCCAGTCAGCCTGTTTTGATCTCCCTTACCTTGCCGCCCTCTTCGTCATCCCACAGCTTCATCCTGAGCACCTTGGCAGCCATCAGGTCAGCCTCTTTCTCCGTGTCCCCGGGGGCCACGGCAGCAAAGGCCAGGACTCCCTTGCCGATGGAAGAGATCATCTCCTTGTCGACGGTGACGGACGCCGACAGGACACGCTGCAATATGACTATTTGAGTTGTTGGTGAGCTTATGTTTCATTTGTCTTTTGTGTGTGTGTGTGTATGTATGTATCTCGGTGATTACACTGTACTGCACGTACCCTTCATACTCGTGATGTGTGAGTTTTTTTGTGACTGAGAGATGCAAAGTGAGTAAGATATCAGACTGTTTTGACTGGCTTGAGTCAAGCTCTTTGTATCTAGATGTTACTCCGTAGTCGGATCGGCATCGGTCCCGATTTACCGTGTATCACAGCAGAGAAAGAACAATCAAGATTAATTTTAATGATAAAACATAAATTATCTCAAGCCAATAGGTTTATATAAGCCACCAAGTTTAGAATTTTCGCCAAAGTTTTCAATATTCATAGAGTTTCAGACTGCAAGCTCTAGCTTACGCAAAGCACTGAGGCAGTGGAGGGCACTTTTAATTGCCAGCAAGGTACTCCGTATCTCAGTAGTACTAAGGTAGACGCTTAGCGAAAAAACCACGTCATTGAGTGCATCTTGCAATATTGGCCTCTATTTGCACCCACTGTTTGGCTTGCCGATTCAATATTACACAGACATGTCATGCTTACAGATTGACTAACCATCTTCCACTATTACAGCCTTTTCAAGCCTGTAAATGCTTGTTCAACCCTCAATTTCCACTGCAACACGTTTCAGTAGCTAACCGCGCCTCGCCCCAGTGAATCGCGGCCCCTCAGCCAATCACGACATCGCGGCTCTTTAGTCTCATTGGATGGCTGCACCTCCCACCTTGAACTAACCTTAACCACCAAATCAGTGCTGGCCAGCCTTACTCTCCAACAACCACATCTCATCTACCATCGGCTCCCGGCATTGATGCTCAGGACGACGGACACTGTATTGTCACCCTATTATAGTTAACGACGACCATCGGATCGCCCCCCGCGACGCGCCGTTATATCATAATAACCCTTCCCTGCGCTGCCACATCTTCCCGAACGGTGCTGGCAGAGACGCACAACAAACCGAATCGACAACAACAGTCGGGCGACAAGATCTATACGAGCGACTAGACGTTGCGCCCGAGTGGCTGCATTTTTCTACTCATAATGGCGGCGAGGAAACTGGCCCAAGAGGTCGACAAGTGCTTCAAAAAGGTCTCCGAGGGTGTGGCTGAATTCGAAGCTATTTACGAAAAGATCGAACAATCGAGTAATCCTGCCCAGAAGGACAAGCTAGAAGATAACCTGAAACGCGAGATCAAGAAGCTCCAGCGACTGAGGGATCAAATCAAAACATGGGCCGCCAGTAACGACATCAAGGACAAGGCTCCCTTGCTGGAGCATCGCAAGCTGATCGAGACGGTTGGTCCCCGCCACTGACAACGGAATGCCATCCAGTATTTTTATTGACGGTTTTATCCGGTTTTTAGCAAATGGAAAAGTTCAAGGCCGTGGAGAAGGCCATGAAGACGAAAGCATACTCCAAGGAAGGTCTATCAGCTGCCGCCAAGCTCGATCCCAAGGAGCAGGCAAAGGTTGAGGCCAGCGAATTCTTAAGTGGCATGGTCGACGAGCTGGAACAGCAAATCGAGACACTCGAAGCAGAGGGCGAGTCGATACAAGCGACCATGAAGAAGGGCAAAAACAACACCGCCAAGGCCGAACGCATCGCCGAAATCGAACGCATTATCGAACGACATAAGTGGCACCAGGGGAAGCTGGAACTTATCAGGAGATCCTTGGAGAACGGCGGAGTTGAGCCCGAGCAAGTGACCGACCTAGAAGAGAGCATTCGATATTATGTGTCGGATGGCATGAACGAAGACTTTATGGAGGATGAGGAGATGTATGAGGAGCTCGACCTTGAGGACGAGGAAGGTACCTACGGCATGGCCGCGGACAACGAGAAGAACTCTTCTCTGGATGCGCAATCTGTGCAAGAGGACCTGACGACCGACAATGACTTGCCAAAGACACTGACGAGAAAGGCGCAGAAGGAGGTTGACCCAGTACGGAGGACATCTTCTCAGACAAAGTCACCTTTACCTGCACTCGCGACACTCCATGCTCCGTTACCGACTATCAGCAATAGCAATTCCGGTACGCCGGCTATGAAGCCAGCATCAGTACCTACAAGGCCCGCCGGAGAAGGACTCAAGTACGCTTCAGCGGCCGCTGCCGCCGCCGCGAGCGATAAGAACAACGTTGGTATCTCTCCGCTACCTCCGCCCCCTGGTGCCGCATCATCAAGCATATCCCCATTGCCGCAAGCCCGAAGCAGCGCGACCAACTCTCCTGCTACATCCTCTGCCCAGCCCGCTTCTCAACAACCAGAGTCAAAGCAGCCCACTCCAGCTCCTGCTGCTGCCGAGCCAGAACCTGTA